GGTGAAGGCATGGCGGGAGAAGGAGGGGGGCAGGGGGGACGAACTCGTTCAACCCTCAGCCTTGTTTGGAGCGGGGTTGGGTCCTCGGCCCAGCGGTGGAGATCTGGGGTGAGCTGAATTGGAGGCGAGGAGGGAAGCGCAAGAGGGTGAGGATATGGTCATCCTCCCCAAAGCCAGTAAGTTCATAGAGTCCCAGGAAGACCGACTGCCAAAGCCGATTGCGAGGGAGAGAATCCGATCTCGCCCCAAACCCTTGGGGGAAAAAGACTTAGGTGGATTTGTGCCCCAACCGCCCCCAGTAGATCCTTTGAAGGAGAGGGCTTTGAAGGAGATGGAGGTGGTAAAGAAGAAGAGGAGAGTGAGGAGGAGTGAAGAAGAGCCTGCCGTGAAGAGGAGGAGGGAAGTGATGGCAGAAGAGACCAGCACGGCCAATGAGGCAGAGAATGGGGGAATGAAGGAGACCCCAGGAGGAGTGGTCATCCCAGAAGTGGTGGAGATCGCCTCGAAGAAAGTTTAGGGATTAATTTATTTAGTGGATGAGACTAGAGAAGGAGTTAACACAAAGTTGGAGATTTGTAGAAAAGCTCTTGAATCTAAAGAATTCCGGATAAGCAGAACTAAGACAGAGTACATGGAGTGTAAATTTAGTAACAGTAACAATGAAAGCAGAGGAGAAGTGAAGATTGAGAACCAAGAACTGCCTAAGAGTGAACATTTTCGTTATTTAGGGTCGATTATCTCAACAGCGGGGAGATTGATGTGGATGTGGCTTATAGGATTAAGGCGGGATGGTGTAAGTAGAGAAGTGCGTCTGGGGTATTGTGCGATAAACGAATACCCACTAGACTAAAAGGTAAGTTTTATAGAACGGCTATTAGACCAGTTATGTTGTATGGGACGGAGTGTTGGGCAACCAAGAAATAACATGTAGATAAGATGAGTGTGGCTGAGATGAGGATGCTAAGGTTGCTAAGGTGGATGTGTGGTAAGACTAGACAAGACAGCATTAGGAATGAGTGTATTCGGGAATGGGTAGGAGTAGCACCGATAGAAGATAAGTTAAGAGAGAATCGTTTGAGATGGTTTGGTCATATTCAACGGAGACCAACAGAGGCAGTAGTGAAGAGATGCGATGCTGTAACGGTAGATGAAAGTGTTAGGGGACAGGGTAGGCCTAGATTAACGTTGACTAGCGTTATAAATATAGATATGAATCTACTTAATTTGACTAATGAAATGGCCTATTATAGGGCCGCGTGGAGAAGGAGGATTCATGTAGCCGACCCTATTTGATGAGACTTAAGGCTTGGTTTGGTTTGATTTTTAAATTCAATCATGCCATATGATTTGTGTTATGGGGGATTTATGAGTAACTCAGAAAACAAAAAGATCTGGGATTTTAATTTTGGTTCTTTCCATTTGTTTCTTGGTAAGCCTATACAGACACTTTAACAAGAAAATGGGCAAAAACAACACGAAGGGTGCACCAAGGTAATGCTCACAATGAAACATTAACAGTAACTCACTTCCAAACAAAGCACCACCACATTTAGATATATTCATGATTCTAAAAACCAACCAATCGATCACAGAGAAACATACCCACAAAATTGAATAACAAGGAGACCAAACGTAAACCCTAGAATCAGAGATGTGCATTTAATCCACAAGTACATGAAAAAATTAGGAAACAAACAAATACCCAGAAAAGCAGAGGGAATTGGGAGAGAGAGAGAGAGAGTACCCTGCAGGAACTGGTCTCCTCATTGCCTTCCATATATCTACCCATACATATGTACACATACAATGCTACAATGAGGAGTAGAATAACAAAAAGGGATTGTCTGCACAATACTTCATTTGATTGATGAGGAAAACGTGCATATATATATATATATATAGAGAGAGAGAGAGAGAGAGAGAGAAGCAGACAGAAGATCAGTATTCAGTTGGATAAAAATCTTCAAATGGGTGTGTGGGCTAATATTAATCAAACAAAAATGAATAATTAGAAAAATGGAATTTGCAGGGAAAGAAATGGAAAATAAAAACAAGGGTTTGGTTGTGAAAAATGGGTTGTTTAGGAATTTCCCAAGGCTGCTAACAAATATTAAAAAACGAGAAGAAGGAAGAAGAACAAGATGACAATGAGTTCTCTCTCTGTACCACGCACAAACACCATAATCCACCACAATTGCGTTGGATTCCAGATTCGTCAACCCCCTAAAAAAAAATAAAAATAAAAATAAATTTCCTTTTTTTTCTTTTCCTATGGACGTTCCGTTTTACAAATACTCCCTCCGTTCCCAAATAATGATTCTTTTTGGGAATTTAATTTTTTTTGGTAGTACAATTATTACATTTGAAAAAAGTTAATTTTTCAAAATTATCTTTTTGATAGTACATTTTTTGGGAATATCAATGCATAATTGTACTTTTTATGTTGTTTATTAATTTAAAAGAAGTGTAAAATAGGAAATTTATATTATTTTTGTACTTGATTTTTGAAGAGGGACTAATATTTTGAGACAATGAAAAATGGAATAAGGGATTAATATTTTGGGACGAAGGGAGTAATGAAAAATATTGGACATCACATCCTCATACTGAGCGTTTGTCATCTTCTTAAAAAATTAATTTCACGCATGACACTGTGTGGGTATTTGCAATGATGGAATCAGAATTTCATTATTAGAGAAGTTAAAAGGGAAATAATTTTTTTTATCATATACACAAAATACACACACACACATATATATATATATATGAGATTTTTTTTAGGTGTGTCTTGCATATGATATGCAAGGCAATTACGCTCTTTCTATTTTGCATTTACACCTTTTATGTATTGGGTTTTTTGAAAGTCTACATATTGGTGACCTGCTAAACGGGTCATTTGCAGGTAAATTAATTAAATAATATAACATATTAATAATTTCATAAAAGGTCTTAAAAGATGTAAAATGTGAAAATATTTTCTGAAATGGGTGTAAACTTTCACAAAATGGTGTAAGGTATAAACTTTCAGGAAAATGTGTAAACCTTTAGAAAATGGTGCAAGTGTTTTGACGAAAAGGTATGAACTTTCAGAAATTGGTGCAAACTTTCACAAAATGGTGTAAGTATTTTGACGAAAAGGTATAAGTTTAGAAAAAATTTCAGAAAATGTGTAATGATTCAGAAAAAGTGTAAAATTTAGTTTAGTGTAAATTTTATCGACAAATAACAGTTTAGTCGCTGGGTCTGTTTGGTAACATTTACGTTTTCAGTTTATATTTACAAAAATCTTATAAACTGGTTTTTGTTTATTTTTTATTTATTTTTTGAAAAACATAAACTACAAACGCGTTTGGTAATTGACCAAATGTTTAAAAAAAATAAAAAAGTGAGAGAAATGGAAAGTGGTGGAAAGTGGCGGCGGAAGACGGTGGTGGAAAGTGGTGACGGTGGGTGGTGGGTAGCGGGTGGTGATGGGTGGGTGGGTGACGGTGACGGGTGGTGGGTGGTAGCGAGTGGGTGGTGGTAGTGGTGGTGGTGGCGGTAGTGGTGGTGGTGGCGAGTGGGTGGCAGGTGGTGGTGGTGACGGGGTGTAACGTCGGTGGTAGTGGGTGGGTGGGTGGTGGGTGACAGTGGCGGGTGGTGGTGGTAGCGAGTTGGTGATGGTGGTAGATGGCGGGGTGGCGGGCATAGGTTGGTGCGCGTGGGTGGGTGGCGGGTGGTGATTGGTGGTTGGGTGGGACGGTGGCGGGTGGTAGGTGTAGCGAGTGGGTGGTGGTAGCGGGTGGTGGCAGAGTGGGTGACAGATGGCGGGTTGGTGACGGGTTGGTGATGGGTGGTGGCCGGCATTGTGGTGGGTGGCGGGGTAAGTGGCGGGTGGTGATGGTGGTTGGTGGTGGGTGACGCGTAGCGAATTGGTGGGTGTAGCGAAGTGGTGGGTGGTGGTGGCAGGTAGGTGGCGGATGCGGATAATGGGTGTGACGGGTAGGTGACGGGTGGTGGTGGTAGTAGGTAGGTGGGTGACGGTTGGCGGTAAGTAGCGAGTGGGTGGTAGTGGTGGTGGTGGTGGTAGGTGTAATGGCAGGTGGTGGCGGGTGAGTGTGTGGTGATGGTGGTGGTGGTGGTGGTAGTGGTTATTGCTATGGTGAGTGGTAGGTAGTGGGTGGTAGTGGTAGTGGGTGGTTGGTGGTGGCTGTGATGGTGGGTGGCTGTAGTGGCAGGTGGTGGATGGTGGTGGCAAGTGTATGATATGGTGGTGGCGGGGTTGGATGTAGTGGCGAGTGGGATGGCAAGTGGGGGTGGTTGTGGTGGTAGTGGCGAAGGGTGGGTGGTGGTGGCAGGCGGTGGGTGGTGAGTGGTGGTGGGTGGTGGTGGCGGAAGACGGTGGTAGAAAATGGTGGTAGGTGGTGGCTAGTATTGGGTGGTTAAAAAAAAAAAACTGAAAACTAAAAATGGAAACACATTTTTGAGTTTATATTTTTGGCCAAATTTATAAACTGAGACCACTGATTTATAAATAAAAATTTACCAAAACAAGTTTTATTTGACTTTTTAAATTTTGTAAAATAAACAGAAAACTGAAACGTAAATGTTACCAAACGGCGGCACCTAAAGTTTGAAATTTTATACCATCGGGCCCCCTCTTCTCTGTTTCCCACCAACACTTCTCTCTCGTTCTCTCACCTACATATAAACATCTCAGGCCACCGCCGCTTCGCAATCAAAGTTTTTTTTTCTTTCTCTCTATTGATCTTGGTCTCTCTTTGTTGATCCCGGGCTCTTCTCTGTCGATCTCGGTCTCTCTCTTTCTGCCGATCTCTGTTGATCCCTGTCTATCTTGGTCTGTCTCTAGCGATCTTGGTCTGTCTGTGTCGATCTCGGTCTCTTCTTTGTCGATCTTTGTCGATCTCGGTCCCTCTCTGTCGATCACTGTTTATCTCGTTCTCTCTATCTGTCGATCTCGGTCTGTCTGTCTGTCTGTCTGTCTCTCTCTCTCTCTTTCTCTCTCTCTCTGTTCCTTGCTCTATATTAAAAATGGTTCTCTTTTACATTGACATACTTGGTTGGATTTGGACTTGGAGTCGCTATTCCAAGCCCTCCCAAACTCGTCTTCTCTGAAACTGACTTCTACTTAGAGAAAGACCAAGCCCTCTGAAACGCCCTTCTCTCTCACATTGCCATTATTTGAACAAGACAAATACAGTTTGATTGGGTTTTAGGAACTTACACGTTTTGTGAAAAACGAAACTTACACATTTTGCGAAGTTACTTATATCTCTTGTGAAAACACTTACACTATTTGTGGAAGGTTACACATTTGTGAAATAATTTATTTTGTAAAATTTACACATTTTCGTTGAAATACTTACACCTTTTCTGAGAAGTTACTACTTTTGTAAAGAATGTTATTAAAAGAATTTACACCTTTTATTGGAACTTACACATTTTTTGAAAACAAAACTAACACATTTTGTCACATAACTTACATATTTTTGCAAACATTTACACGTTTTATGAAAAGTTACACCTTCTATGGAGAATATGTTTTCATAAAGTTTACACATTTTGTTAAAAACTTACATGTTTTCTGAAAGTTTACACCTTTTAGTGGAAATAATTACACCTTTTATGAGAAGTTACTCCGTTTATGAAACATTTTTTTCCAGAAAATATACACCTTTTATTAGAACTTACACCTTTTGTGAAATAACTTACATCTTTTCTGAAAATGTTTACACCTTTTATGGAAATCTGAATTATATTTTCCATAAAATTTACACCTTTAATGGAAAGTTAACCATTTGTGACATAACTTCCATCTTTTGTGAAAACCACATACATGTTTTTGAAAATATACACCTTTCATAGAAAAAATATTTGCATAAAATTTATACCTCTTGTTAAAAACATAAACCTTTTCTGAATGGTTACACCTTTTTGTGGGAATACTTACACCTTTTCTGAATGGTTATTGCTTATGTGAATAACTTTTTCCATAAAATTTACACTTTTTATGGGATATTACACCTTTTCTGCCAGCAAAACTTACACCTTTTTTAAAAATTTACACCTTCTATGGAAAATATGTTTTCATCAAGTTTATACCTTATTTTAAAAACTTACACCTCTTCTGAAAAGGTACTCCTTTTGTGAAACAAAATTTTTTTAAAAATTTAGACCTTTTTAAAGGAGTTACATCTTTGGTGAAGACAATTACAACTTCTTTGAAAATTTACACGTTTCATGGAAAATATGCTTTGATAAAGTTTGTTAAAAGAAATTATTTGACAAAAGGTATAGCATTTTCAAATATGGTGTATGTTTTTCTGAAGAAAGTGTAAATGACCTCAGAAAAGATGTAAGTTTTGTTTTTCACTAAAGGTGTAACTTCAAATAATAAGTGTAAATTTTATGCAAAAGGTTTTTCCACAAAATGTGTAATTTTTCAAAAAAGTTGTAAATATTTCCACGAAAAGGTGTAAATTTTTAGAAAATGTGTAAAATTTAGAGTGTAAACTTTGTGAGACAATCAAGCTGAATGTTTCGTTTTTACAAAAGATATAAGTTCCCAAAGAAGCTCTAAATTTTATTGACGACTTATGAGTTGAAAATTTTTATCACCACTGACCACCCAACCGTCGCGGACCACCGTTGCCCACCGCCGACTGACATTGCCACCGCCACCACCGTTGGTGCAAATCAAAGGATTTTTCTGTCTCTATCGATCTTGGTCTCTCTTTGTCCATCTCGGGCTCTTCTCAGTCGATGTCGGTCTCTCTCTGTTTGTCTGTCGATCTCTGTCTATATCGATCTTGGTTTGTCTGTGTCGATCTGGGTCTGTCTCTCTCTGTAGAACCATATCTATCTCAGTCTCTGTCTGTCGATATTGATTCGTCTCTCTCCCTCCTTTCGTCTCTGTCTGTCTATATCGATATCGAACCATGAACAACACAAATACAGTTTGATTGGGTTCTAGCAACTTACTCGTTCTACGAAAAAATGGAACTTACACCTTTTGTGAAGTTAATTTCATCTTTTGTGAAAACACTTCCTATATTTTTGGAAGGTTACAGTTTTTTGTGAAATAATTTATTTTGGAAATTTACACATTTTCGTTCAAATACTTACACCTTTTCAGAAAAGTTACATTTTTTGTAAAATAATTTCATTACAAAAATTTACACTTTTTATTTGAAGTTACACCATTCTGAAAACAGAACATACACCTTTTGTCAAATAACGTACATCTTTT